AGGGTTTTGTTTGTTTCTAGTAACCCCATAGAGTTTTCAAGGCAAGAGACATTCAGAGGTGATTTGCCACTGCCTGTCTTTGCATAGCAACTGGACTCCCTCAGTGGTTTCCCACTGAAGCACTAACCAGGGCTGACACTACTTAGCTTCCAAGATCTGGCTAGCCTGGGCTATCCAGGTCAGGGTATTTTGTATTTGATTGTATCAAACTGTTTAACACTATTGACTAAAATAAAACTAAAATATAAAATGAAATCGGAATGCAAGCAAGCTGTGGATTTTCTTGGATACCTCTTTGTGCCTCCCAGTGAAGCCTAGTTGCTGACCACTGAAACTAGAAGCTATGAGAACATTTTCTATGAGTTAAGCAGAGGCTTAGGCAAGAGTTTTATATCCCACAGCACACAAAACCAAAGGCTAATACATCTGTACTTCAAGCACTCTGTCAAGTCCAAGTGTGAGCACTACATGGCCACTCTCAGGTTCACTCTGGTGGCAAGGAGGGCAATAGGAAGTACTGGAACCATGCAGAGACAGAAACACAGCAAAGGCTGAAGGGAGAGTAATGGAGAAGGAAGAAATTAACCAGGGAAGTTAGAGTCTCAAGTAGGAACCAGAGAAGGATGAAAATCAGGTTTCCAGTACTAGGCTATCCAGAAGCCTAATTCCAGTGTTGTGAGCCCAAATGAATCTACAAGAGCACACAGAAACCCTTGGAATGTGATATTAGATGCAGAATTCTCAGCTTTCAAACAGCAAGTTCTTCTTTTCAAATGATGTAGGTTTCTAGCCTTTACAACTGCAAAGATACGCTTTAATAACATAAACAATGGCTGCTGAAATCTCAGATGCTTTAGTGACTAACAAGTTTGGCCTCCCCCTCTTCTTCCTTTTCCCCTCCCCTCTTCTTCCTTTTCCCCACCCCCGTTCCCCTTCACAGCTGTCTGAACATTGCCCCTCCATAATTTTATTCAATTTTATTAAAAAGTTGTATCTATCTCCCCTTTTACTGCATTTATTGTATTTATTGTAATTGTATGCTGTTTTAAAGGTAAAAGGTAAAGGTTCCCTTGCTCGAAAGCCAGTCAAATCCGACTCTAGGGTTGCAGTGCTCATCTCCATTTCAAAGCCGAAGAGCCAGCGCTGTCTGAAGACATTTCCGTGGTCATGTGGGCGGCATGACTAAACACCAAGGCAGATTTTTAAATTGCATTTTATGGTTTGATGTTACCTGCTCTGAGCCGACTTCAGGGAGAGTGGACTATAAATTAAATTAAAAAATAAAATAATAATCTGATCATTAATGGTTGCAGGAGGGGATCACCCTGGTCCCAAATGACCAAGTCAAAATAATTTAGGCAAGAGCAAAAATGGCAGAATTATGGACAATAAGACAAACCACACAAATTGGTGTATAATTTCTAAAAGTTGCATAACTCGTTTTCTTCAAATAGATTTTGATTTACTACAGAATTTTAATCTTTTAAAATGTAGAGTACACACTGTCCTGCTTAACACTTGCTTAATTAGGAGCTCCTATTTCCTGCTAGGCCTTAAGAGGACTCTAATAGCATGTCATTAGACTTGATGCCAATTAAGAAAAGAGCCTTGACTTGGAATCCTGTATTACCAGATAATGTCCTACACAGCATTTAGAGTGCCCTGAACTGAATGGTCAAGGGTAGTCTGATTCCATCAGGTTTCGGAAGCTAAGCCTTAGTTAGTATTTGGATGGGAGACTACTAAGGAAGTCCAGAATTGCTACACAGAGACAGGCAATGGCAAACCACCACTGTTCATCTCTTGCCTTGAAAACTTTAAGCCAGGGGTGTTAAACATATGGCCTGTGGGATGGATTCAGCCCCTGCAAGGGCCTAATCCAGCCCAAGAACAACTGACTATCTGCTGCTTCCTGCTTCTTACATTGCAGCTCCTTCTGGCCAGTCTCTCCTATTTCCTGTTTCAGAGGAAAGAAAGAAAGCCTTCCCTCAATTGGCTGAGGGCTCCCCCCTCCTACTCCTCTGGGGAGGGGGGAGGGAG